CGTGTTTTAAAATTAAAGACATTTTTAATGCGGTTATTTTATACTGTATTATTATTAGTGATTCTTGTCTGTGTAATTTATATGGAGTCTGTTATAATACAGTCTGGGGAGTCTGTTATAATACAGTTTGGGGAGTCTGTTATAATACATTTTAACAGTTGTGTCTTTTTGGATATGATGCATTGAAAAAGCTGCGCATCCGCAGAAGTGAAATGCGTCATATCCGAAAAGACATATACTACTAAGGGGTGCAGAGTTAACTATCCAAGGTGTGGTGTTTTCATTCCGAGACGGGGCGCAAGTCTTTAGACTTGACTAGAGTTTACAGATGATATTATAGGTCAGAAAACCCAACAAAGCAATTCTATATGAATTCAAGTGCCGTAACATAAATTTAACAGGACTGCCAAAATTCTAGACCAAATCTCTTTCGTAAGTCATTTGTGGACTGACTTGACTAGAGTTTACAGATGATATTATAGGTCAGAAAACCCAACAAAGCAATTCTATATGAATTCAAGTGCCGTAACATAAATTTAACAGGACTGCCAAAATTCTAGACCAAATCTCTTTCGTAAGTCATTTGTGGACGGACAGACGAATGAACAGATTTGCTTATAAGGGGGGAGATATTTTACGTGTACAACTGCACATTATTTGGTTCCCTTGCTATACCGACCTCTTTCTTATCTACAATTCACACATACCCCATTTCTATAGGCATTTAAACCCACCCAATGCATAAATACATTTTACTGTCAACAACTCATTGTGGGAAAATTTATTCGCTCACTTATGCAACAACTATACAATTGGTAAATGACATTCCATTCCAGTAGCGACAAAAAAGTAATTGAAAAAATAGTACATGCATTCACGATATAGAACACAATGTACATAAATTCGCTTTTTGAACAAGGAGAGTTCAAACAACGAACAATACCGATTTGTGCCTCTCACTATTGCTCATTTGATGTTCAGTCACACCAGGTTTATATGTTATAATGTAGTCTATATCCCCAAGAGATCGACTGTTAAACATTTCGATCATGAACTATGGAAAATACAATATGTTTCATGATCCTAGTTGTTGCTTTGTTGCCAGATATTCAAGGTAAGTAAACTTTCAAAATTTCAGTTAGGTCCAAAGATTAATTAAATTTTAGATTAGGTTGATATCATGGAAAAATATTTGATTTAATTTTTGTAGGAATGTAACATTGCCGCTACGTAATGAAACGGAAGCTTCATTTTGATTAGGTTCTTTGTCCCAATATCTAATAAGTTGATTTTGGTTTTAAAAGATGGAACCTTTGTTTTTTTACAATTATAAATAACAGTCCGATTTTTAATATTCATTTCACGAAAACATTCTGTATGTATCCTGCTCGCCTAGTCTAATCTATATATTTCAACAAATCTAGTAGATGGGAGCATACTCACTCAAAAAAGAGTCGGAGTTAGCTTGAGAAATGTTTTAACCGGATTTTGATTTTATATGGTCGACTGATATCAAACATGCATAATATATTATATTTCTTTGAGTTGTGAGATTAAAGGATTAAAGTTGTGTGTATCACTAAGTTTCAAAATATTAGAAACTATACGAAGGATATAACTATACTAGGATCTAAATAATAAAATACATTGTTAAACCACCGCCTCGAGCTTGAGTGGTTGGGTAATTCATACCTATATAAAAAATGTTTGTACTTTTTTCGGTTTTATTTCATTTAAAATTGTGGCTTGAATAAAAACATACAAAAGACATATACTGAAAACTTTTTCGTCAAAAGTTTTACTTTTTATCGTAAACAGTGGTTTAAAATATTGTTGTCCAAAATCTTGTTTAATCTTAAGTTTTAATTTATACTGTTAATAATGTTATGTATGTGCCATGTTTGGGGAGATAAGGGTTGTTTTATAATTGTATGTTATGTTTTCAGCAACCTCAATGGTCTCCATATCATCATTTATCACGACTGGTGGTACTTACATATTTAGATGTAAGGCTGATGGTAATCTGGCCACTATTAATTTCTATAGAAGTGATGACCTAAGCCCAGTCTGTTCTATTACCTCTGATGGTTCTGGTTGCAAAGAAAAGACCCAGTCAACCAAATACAAGTGTGGTTGCATAAGATCGTCAATAGCTAAAACGTCTCTTACAGTTTCCGACGTAAATAGAAATGATTCTGATAATGTCCAATGGCATTGTGGAAATTCTGATTCTTATCAGTCTATAAATCTTTTGTGTAAGTAACACTATATTTCTTGTTATAGTTAGATCATAGTAAGTAAAATTTTAGTGGAAAAGAAGTGGGATGGAACACTTAACTCTCTCCACCTACTTATTAACCAATTAACTGACTTGGAACTTACACGAGCTGTCAAAATGTCATGTGATTGTAAAATACTTCGCAATTTAGTGAGCCACTTTATATCAAATTTAGACAATGCTTTTTGGATGAAACAGTGAGTTAGATTTTTAGAAATGAGAAGGCCCAGGATCCTGTATGAAATACTTGATTAGATTATGACGTCATTGTTATATAAATACCATTTTGAGTTGAATAATGATTCACGTTAGTACCCTTAAGATTACTCTAATTAATTCTATTTGTAGACAAATCAGAAGATGAAGCATGCTCCGTATATAAGGGAGAGGGTAAGAATAAATTTCAATAAATTTCAAGAAAACAAAGGTTTAGGGGGGTAAGTATGAAAGTATTGTAAACCCGGTTTCAGATAGACCTACGGTTTGTATAGGAAATCAATTCCTTTATTAATTTGTCATATTTTCAACGTATAATTCAAGTATTGAAGTTCGAGATAGATAAGTGGTTTGTAAATTTCATACACAAGAACAGCATATTCATACAACATGTGCAGTCAACAGCGTACTTACTTCATTCATCATACTTATTCATATTATTTTTGTCATACTCATTTAATACATATCATACAGTATTCCTAAAGTTTATCATATTGATTTAATATCATAGCCATAGTCAAACTTTTGTATATTTTTGTTATACATCATTATATCATACAATGTCGTCATATATCTTCATGTTTGTTTATGTACTCATTCTTTTACTACCTATGTCATACAATTTATATTATACTTTTTCAATACACTTCATTATACCTTTTATTAAGTATTTCTTTGGACTCTAACATTAACAATGAAAGGTATATCATTAATATAACACGATACTTGTGTTTGCTACTTATTGAAAGTTATACCATATATATGTTTACTAATATTAAGTCATTGATTAATATTTTTGTAGTTTTGTAGTAAACTTACATGGCTATCATTTTTCATGAACATGAACACCCATATCTCTGCATATTCAGAACCACTAAACAGCGACTCTGTTCACTAACAAGATGTTTTTAGCGCTGACTGAAAGATGTGTTATGTTGGAACTGGTCCCACTATAAATGGTTTGTGATCGACATTTGAAGAGTTGTTACATTTTGAAACAAGAAAAATCTCTCTATAAGAAAAGTAAGAGTTATTGATATTAGTGAAAATCCTGTATGCACATCCAATTGCCATTTCTCTAAGCCGTCAGTCTTACCGAATCATTATGAAACCTTCCGAAATGAAACCTCATACAAGCACTGCTCAAAAACCCATTGAGATTGTGCAGATAGTCCAGAAGACAATGGTCACAACATAACAATGTAATCCTTTGCATACCATTGTGAGAATTTGCTAGACATCCTTTGAATGCAACCATTGACTCCACCCGCTAGAGAATGTGTATGTTTCTAGATACCCGGACAACTAGATGTTGCCACTCACTTTCTTTCTCTATCGATTGTATAAAAGCAAAATCCGCATTCAATTTATTTATCTTACTTTCTGTATTGTGGCGGAGTTAGACGAATCACCCTAATCCATGATTGGGTTTGTCATCTTCGTATAGCTTATAATGTTAATTTGGTATAATTGTCACAAGTATTCTCTTGGTTTATCACATCATTTCTGACTTTTAATTGGACATATTTTCCTCTTTTTGCAGGAAAAAAGGAGATTTTGTTGCAGAATCAAAAACATTCACACACTTTACAATTGGTATGATACTGAACGACTGGTCAACATGTCAACTATATCTAGAAAAATAAATTTTGAAATCATGTTTTCCTTATAATAATGGGATTAGGTATCCGACCAAGGGATGTTGCTGGTTTGCTTGTCACTTATAATTTAGCAGATGACTCCGCTGATGGTCCGATGGAATAGTAATCTATGTGTGGTCGGTATCGTATCACATCATTTTCCCACTCCAGATTGTTACTAACCTCTAAAGATATCCACCCGATCTCATAAAACACCAGATATTGATCTGTGTTTCAGAGTGGTGTCGATCAAATCGAGTTTCGAGCAGACTTTCAACACATTTTTTTCCGAGGGAATATAACTCTTTCAATCACGATGGGAAAAATGGTCGTTCAACAGAATGTATTAAGTTGCACGAGCACCAAAGCGGTCTATATAGCAGCTGGATACGATAAAAAAAACATTTGCATGAAAGCTTAAAAGGTATAAACAGGTTAGGTGAGTATGTCCAAGACGAGAGCGACACAAACATCTCAGATAGACTTGATGGCACGAAGTTTGTTTGTATCTGCAGCATCCCATCTTCTGTGCCATCGCTGAATACTAGACCTAATCACTGATTTAAAATTGTAAATTGTGTAAGGCTAAGAAAAGGGGGAGACTGGCTCAGCAAACAGGACTTTAGAGGAATGGTTGTAATCATTATATAACAAACCATTGCCTAACCTGCTAACGTGGTAAGTATGCTGTTTATGGAAGAAAACGGATGACATGAAGAACATGTAGAGTACTTACATTAATTTTGAAATGCACAAAATTCAATACTGTTTTCTGGGTACTGAAATAAATTTACAAGGGAGGTAATTCTTACCGAAATTTTAGAAAAAAGAAGGGCTGCGATTTAACCATAAAGCAAATGCAAAGCTCACTATCTGTATATTGTGCTCGTGAAGATAGTAGGATAGGTATACCTTTGCACTATTCTCCGTTTTGTTCAAGTACACCATGTGATAGCTACAGTTTGAAGGAAAATGAATATGGATATACATTATAAAATTGCCGAAACTGATGGAATGAATTCTGGAAACTGAAGGCACGAATATTTATATCGTTGAAATTTTAACTGCAAACAGGACTGTTTCGGCCTTCTGGGCCTCATCAGTGTAGTGCTGATACTGGAGTTGATGTTTTGCTATATAGCCGCATCAGATTATCCCGCATATATGGTATCATCGTACCATGCCAGAGTGCTCAAACTAGTGAACTAGTGAGCTACGCATACATGTTAGAGACAATGGTACACTCCAGATAGAGTGCTTAACAAGGTATGACCCGAGCAGCATATCTAACTGCAAACAGAATTGTTTAGGCCTTCTGTGCCTCATCAAAGCAATGCTGATACTGAAGTTGAGGTTTGGCTATATAGCCGCCTCAGATGACCCCGCATATCTTTGAAATTTTATATATATTTCACAATCGAACTTCCATCGAAGTTCTTCAGTTCCAATCCAGGTTACGCTCCTGCTTGAGAAGTTGTTGATGATGATAATGATTATAGGGCCAACAATTAATAAAACAAACATATCTTTAATTAATCAATAAACAGACCGGTATTTTATCATTTCAATGCATCTTGTATGTTTTTATTAATATAAAGGATAGTAGAGATGTTTTATTATATTGAAACAGGACGAGACTATCTCTAGATCTAGTTCGCGGCAATTCTAAAAATTGCCGACTCATTCACATTTTTCTGAACCGTTGCCTTATAAAACTCTTTATATCGCTTAGTTTTAATGAAATGAAAGAGTTGTATGATATAAATACAAATCGGAGAGCTTAATAACCTTATTCATGATAAAATCGTCGGTTTCGATTGCAGCGAGGCGAACATTTGTTAAATCAAGTTAGTCCAGTAATACTACATCACTATACTGTGTTTTTATCTCTACAGCCGTGCCTCGAAATATGCAGTGGTGTATTATGCAATTCTACATTCTTATATCCACCTAAACTGAATATTTAAATTTTAGATTCGAGATTATTTTTGTTAAAACACACAAGTTATAATACGTTACATTTTTATTGCCGTTTTAGTTTAAACGTAGTCGGGTAAGAAATATACTTCTTATGCAATTTAAAAAAAATAATCAGCATTAAGTAAATTTATAAGTCCGCAGTAAATTTTTAGCCTTAATTGACTTTGATCACTGAAAACACGTTTTTTTTAGCCTATCAAACTTCTTTCTACAAGTAGTAAAATTTTATTATTGAAACAGGCATGCTCATCTTTTGTGTATTTCATATGGCTTTTTGCAACACACATAGACTTTTTCAATGCTTATTGCATCCTCATTTATGATTTTTGGAGAAAAACTGTTCAAGTGACAAAAAATATTTCAATTTCGGGGCTACTTTGAACGTTCAATGTTACACCAATACTAAAATATTTTGTCTACAACAGAGTAAGGAATGTTGTTGATGCATAACTGAAATAACATTTAAAGATTTTTGTTTTAGATTCATTTCACAACCTTCAAGAACTTTCAAATATGCCAAGAAAGTACAAAAAAAGACTTGATGCCAGAAAATACAAATGCTATTCTGAAGAACATTTAAAGCAAGCACTTTCAGATATTGAATTTAAGAAAATGTCACTGAGGAAAGCCAGTGAACATTATAGCATTTCCTTAGGTACATTGAGTCATCATATGAATAAAAAACATACTGGAAAAACTGGTCATCCATTTGTTTTTAACAATGATGAAGAGGCTACTTTTGTAGAACATCCTCAGACAGTCGCCAAATGGGGATTTCCTTTTGACTCTTTTGACCTAAGATTACTGGCAAAAAACTACCTTGATTCTGAAGGTCGAAAGGTTACACAGTTTAACAATAATTTTCCATCGGCGGAATGGGCTAATTCATTCATTAAACGACAGTCTGGTGAAATTACATTTAGATTTTGCCAAAATATTAAGCGTTCAAGGTCCAATATAGGGTCAAGAATAGTAAAATCTTATTTTGATGAACTGAAGAAGTCGTTAACAGATGAATCAGGGGATTTTATTCCCCTAACTCACATATATAACAAATCTTTCTGCAAGGCAGAACACATCTGGACTACATGGACAGAAGGTGGCACCAAAGGCACACGGTATAATAAGAGTAAAAGTGGTTGGTTTGATGCCTGTTGCTTTGCAGACTGGTTCGAGAGCATTTTGATACCTGGCATTGACAAATGTGCTTGGCTCCTAGTGAGTTAGACGCTTGCTCGCTAACCTGAAGGTCCTGGGTTCAATCCCGGCATAGGTCGAGATAATACCTTCAGGTTTCCACCTGTCAATGATGCAAGTACGAGGGGCTGACATGGAAAAAGCGTTCGGATGGGACAATAAACCGAGGCCCCGTGTGCTACAGGCTGTGCACGTTAAAGACCCCTCGACAGTTGAAAATCGGAAAAGGGCAGGCTAATGCCGCTGTCCTGGCAAAATTTCCCTCATTGCACCCTGCATGGCGTTACCCGTCTTCATTAGCCCACATGGTGCAGAAAAGTAGGACGTAAAACTCTATACATTTCATTTCATTTTGTTCACCCCTAGCTCATGAGAGTGATATAAGATTTGCTTGTCTTCCTGCCAACTCAACTCACTTGCTCCAACCACTATATACTATATGGGCCATTAAAAAGGTACTGGAGAAAAGTTATTGACAACTGGAAAAGTAGTAGCAAGAACATTATATAAAGACAGCTTTCCCATGCTCCTGACTAAACTATATCACTTGTTATATCCATCTGAAGATTTACAAAAATCTAATTTCATTAATGATTTAATTTTGAACGTCAAATTCAGCTTTGTTTTGTCCATACTTGTTGGATTAGTGCATTAGCTTTGTATTTCATTGTTGATTTGAAATTTTTTTCAATGTATGATAACTCCTTACTTTTTTTTAAAAACATTGAACACTTTAATTTAGCCCTATAAGCATGGTATCATTGATTGAAATCAAAAAATATTTTGTGTTCAAAGAAGAACCAAATCAGGATAACTTTGAACACCCTTTTAATTTTGAAAAAAAAAGTATCACAATATGCCACAGACGTAAAAGTTTAAAAATGTGGTCTACCCATTCTTCCCCCCATTTAAGGATATTTAGATAGATAAAAGGTAACTATTAAGTAAAAATAAATAATTAAGTTGCTAAAAAATGTTCAAAGTATCCCCGGTTTACGGTACTAATAGTATTCACATGTTACTATCAAAGATTAAGCCAATTAAAAAAAGTTATTATGTATTTTGTTCGAAAAATTGTACCGAACCAATTTGGTGCATGTTGTAATGACCTGCAATTATTACCTACAAAACCTCACCCTTCCTTTCAAATTGAATTAAGATTCGTGACGCTACACTGACTCTTTTTAAACTCATTTTAATTTCGTTCAGTATGTGTTATATTTGACAATATATATATATATATGTATATTTTTGTATTTGTACGCTGCCCACAAGAGGCAATAAATCTTACCATATACGTAGTTGAACGTACTTTGACCTTTGACCTCCTACATGTACTTCCGGTTTTATAGCTATCTGTAAAAAGCCAAATTCGCAACTTTGGACTGCTCTAGCACGTGACCTAATTAACCTAGAGGGTTAATTTTTTCGGTTTCCTAATGTGCTTCTCATGCACTTTACATAGATATATAACAATCGTTATTTTAAAGCAAAATTGAAATTCGTGATTTTTTCAAATTTGAGTTTTTTTTTACAATATTTGCGTCTTTTTGAGCTTTGTATATGTATATCTTATGATCTATTTGATGTAGAACCTTGATATTTGGAATACAACTAGACACTTTGAATATGAATTCACCTATGACAAAAAAACTTATGTGGGCGTGGCACATCCGGGTTGAATTACTAATTGTTTACATTTAGAGGCAGGGGCATAACTCGCATAGGATGCGTTTGTTCAAAAAGGGACTTTGCACACAATTACCTCATCCTTTTGGCCAGTTTGTGTTAACAGCTCAGTTGTTTCAGCCTTATAGTTCCAAAAAAGGAACGGGTTTTAACATTTGGATTTTTTCATTTTTCGATTTTGACCTTTGTTGACGTTTGTTGACCTATATCTTTTGACCTATATTATGTAGGAGCTTTACATTTCGAACATAACGTAATATTCTGAATATCAATTAACCTATGCAAAAAAAATTGAAGTGGGCTTGGCACATCCGGGTGAAATTACTCATTATTGACATTTTTGGCCAGGGGCATAACTCGCAAAGTATACATTTGTTCAAAATGGAACTTTGCATACAATTACCTCATATATTGAGCCACTTTGTCTTAGAATTTCAATTGTTTTTGCTTCATAGTTCAAAAAAAGGAACAGGTTTTGGAATTTAAAAATTTTCAATTTTTGACCTTGACCTTTGTTGACCTTGACCTTTCTAACATCAAACGTCATTGGCATTGGCTATCTATTTATACTTTTATATTTGCCGTCCTATGTCAACTTCCGGTTTTATAGTCGTTAGCAATTTGAAATTTTGATGGCGTATATCTCTTGATCTTGACCTTTTTAGACCTTCTCCTTTACAAGATCAAAGGTCATTGACCTCGGCTATCTGCTGATACTTTCATTTGTGAGGTCTGACGTCCACTTCCGGTATTACAATCTTCTAAAAAATGAAAATTTCTCAACTTTAGACCGTTCTTACGCTTGATCTAATTATCGTGGAAGGTTGATTTTTTCAGGTTCTTTTGCATTTTGCTACATTTGCAAAGTCCCACTCTGTGCCACGAGTGGCTCTAGTTATTATTATTATTATTATATTTAAACATTTTGTCCACACTTTGTGGATTATGGATTTTTGTATCACAAAATATTGTGGAACGAATGAACCTAGGACGAACATTAAAAGTGTTGGCGTAGCCAAGACTTCATAGACGGGGGTGATGGGCACCTTTATCCCCTTTTTGACTTTTCGAGGGTACTACCCTCTAAATACGCCACTGTAGTTACTTGTAAAAACGTAGTAATATTAGAAGATAAATTGCATAAAATGCCGGAATTTATTTTCAAAACTTTCAAACAAAATCCCCTTACGATTGTTGAGGAAGATAAATCCTGAATTGATTTTGAATAGATATACTTGTAATAAGCCTGCTTACCAATTCATTAATAAGGTTAAACGTAAATTTGGACTAATTTGTTATTAAAATCTATTGCCGAAAGAACAAATGAATGTACACCAAATTTCATACAACGCGGAATCTTTTTAAACAGGTTTGAATTGAGAAGTATGGCATTGTTATTTTTTTGTAAACAAATACGACATTTTTTTTTGAAAAAGAGAAATTTGGATGAACATGATGTGTTTTTGATTGCAAAATCGTTATTTTGAATATTTAGGTAGTTTTAAGCAATTTTTCCCGAAAAAAGATCAAATTATGACAAATTTTATTTACCATGCCATGGTAAATAGCCGTAAGGGTACTTATGGCTATTTACCACGCTTACCACGCCAATGGTAAATAGCCACTGCCAACTTGAAGTGTAAAGATTTAAACTGTCAAATTTCGGATGTCTAAAAACTTAATGTTGAACACCCCATAAGACATAAACTTTTAACGTCAAGATGTAAAAACTCCCAAATTATCAATATATGTAACTGGAAGTTTTAATTAAGATCTTCAACTCGTATCATGCTTAAAAATTGCAATTTTGATAAATAAAAAAAAAGTATATAGTGCTGTATGAAACTTGAATTGTCACGTTACAGAACCCCTTAAAGTTAAAAATTGCGATATTCAAATTGCTATACAAAACCGGAATCAATCATCTTTTTGTGTTGGTCACTAACACAATCAAGAGTCATTTCCGGCCGTTTCAAAAAGTGCTTTTTTAGGTAGCCCACTTTGATGATATCAGATCCCCCTTTTAAAGCTCAAATTAAACTTTTACAGTCAAGTAAACTAATTTCGTGATAACCTATTTTTCGTGCATCTCCGGGAATGATTAATAGTTTATATGTGCGACCTCGCGTGACCTCCATTTGCTTGTTATGATAAACATGGTTTTCTGTACAATATCAGCTAGTAGAATGAATCCAGTAGTTTCAAGCAAGGTAAAATGTATTTATGTATACTTTGACAAATACAAAATAGGGGAATTCAGTTATTACCAAACGTCACAATTTTTATCGGCCGAATGTCCTTATAATCCCAAGCTGTAATCGGAATTCCAAGTGTCGTCTGCTAGAATGTAGTCCAATGAACGAAATCACGGAAACTAGATTCCATGTCAGCAGAAAAATTTTATGGGACACAATGTGGGCAGTGTTCTTATGTTGTTTCAATGACTTTTAGCAATAAATCACCCTTACGTTTTAATTATCTCATTTTGTCAGTCACTATTATTATTTTTTAAATCATTGTTCTTTGAACGAATTGTCATTAGTTATAATGAAATATTATTAAAGATAAATATTAAGAGAAATTAATTATATGGGTATCCATACAACGTGTTTTTCTCGACTTATTTATAGAACAAACATTGTACACGAAAATAGGTTACGCATTAAGCAGCCATTGTCGAGTTACTTACTCGTGAAATATCATCGTGTCCAAACCACACCCCAATTCGTCATACTTTCTCGGGTTAATAAGAGCACGTCAAAAATTCGTATTCGTGATACGGTGATGAAATATGTGTCATAGTGAGGGATTCATTAAGAAAATCGAAACCAACCAATTTTTTTTTGTAGAATATCTGAGGAAACTTCTAAGACATAAAAAAAAAATTTGCGTTCTTTTATTTAGACGAAATTCGATGTTGAATCCTTATATGCAGGAATATAGGTTACACCACTGTAAATAAACTTTCAAAACTATCTGTCTTTTGATTTTATTCACATTAAATTACTTATATTGAGAGTCACTATATCTTGGTAATTGGTATATTGGTACTTTAACACATCTTCTTGATCTGGCCACGTATTCTCGATCTTAGCGCTAGCATGTTCTAGAATCAATGTTAGATGATAAGAACCTAGGACATCCTAGTGATAAGATCGTTTCGATAATACGTGGCCTGGTATGGTAAGTCTTTGGTAAAGTTACTTACTGGGTTGTTTCGGATGACTCTTCAGGGAAGTTTGCAATAGGAACTTCAAATCGATTGAAGTCTACTCCAGGATCAGGAATTATTGGTTTGATCCTAGCTTTAGTTGGTTGAAGTTGTCTCCTTTTCTTTCTGA